TATCCATATCACATCCTACATCTCAATGATTGGATCAGGTGAGTATAGTACAGTGTCAAAATAATCACCAGTTAAATATGTTCACCTTCAACTCACTTCAACCTTACACTTATCGTATGAGCAATAACATGATTATAACATTCACTGTACAGTATGTAAGTATGAGATGCATCTACAACAGGGGTGTCAAACTCAAGGCCCGGGGACCCTGTGAGCCCAGTGTGCTCTGATTGGTCAGCTCGCCCACTCTGTTCTGATGAGTCCACCACCGTTACAGCGGAACATCAGTGATTATGTGTTACAATGGTGTTTGTTAGCAACCAGAAAATGACACCAGTAATGACAAACAGATGAGAATGCTGCGTGGGGTCTGGGTGCCGTGTTGGCGGGACGTTGCGCGGCTCTCTGCTCCGCCCTTTGAGGCTCGAGGAGCGGACAGTGTGAGCTGGATTACTGGGGTCGTTTCCTGGTTGCTGCGTGGGGTCTGCGAGACAGCGAGACACAGCAGAACTCTGTGTGTGTGTGTGTGTGTGTGTGTGTGTGTGTGTGTGTGTGTGTGTGTGTGTGTGTGTGTGTGTGTGTGTGTGTGTGTGTGTGTGTGTGTGTGTGTGTGTGTGTGTGTGTGTGTGTGTGTGTGTGTGTGTGTGTGTGTGTGTGTGTGTGTGTGTGTGTGTGTGTGTGTGTGTGTGTGTGTGTGTGTGTGTGTGTGTGTGTGTGGAGCCATTACGTCACCATACCCAGGAAGCAAACAATGTAAAATGAGAAATCTCCATCGAGGCGTTCTGGGGCAGCATAGACAGGTCTTTTCTGTGTTAGAGTTTTACTCGCTACAGGGTGTACTTTGAGGGTTTGTGACTCTGCAGACCGTTTACATGCAGAAAAACCTTCATAACACACAAGGGGACGGGTAATAACCGGAAAAGCATGACATGGGACCTTTAAATCATTTTGTAACATTCTCACTGAAGAGACTTGCAATTATTTGCCCTAGACTTCTGCTTTCAGACGTAGTTAATTATGAAGTTATTACCCTATCCGATAATAATCCAATGCAGAGGCAATAATATAATATAACACATTATTTTATATATATTAAATATTTATATATGTATTTTGATATAGTCTTATATATAAAACTGGCCCTTTGAGTGCAACCATGATGCTAATGTGGCCCGAGATGAAATTGAGTTTGACACCCCTACAAGCATCTTAAATGTGACATATAAGATAAAGACAAGTTATTTAAGAAAGTGAGCTCTTGTGACCACATGTTCGGACCATATTTCAAAGTCCTTCCAGCGTACAGTTTCCCTCCCCACCCTCCCCCTTTTTAATTCATCGGGCTGCTGTTGAGCGAAGACACCCTGCCTCCATCGCTCTCCAGAGCCATATCAATATTCATGCGTCTGCCGGGTGCGTTTGTGCGATGGCTGTCTCATTAGCCTTTGATCCCGGCCTGTCGGAGCGCTGATGCTCGACAACAGAGGAGCGTTTGAAGTGCAGAGAGAACAGCTGCTTGCATTGATCTCCATATACTTTCTCTGCCATGCTCACACACACAGATGCTGCCCACAGGCACATGAATACATGCATCTACTGTAGCTCAGGATACACTAGTAGTCTGACCTCAGCACGGCAACAATGGCATCAAGACGATGGCTGCTTTGTACAAAGTCCCTTCATCAGGCTCTGCTCAGCTCCTGAATCCCACTTGGAATAATACATCCAAGGAAAGAAAACGTTTACATTAAGGTACACATATTCACCATCAACTAGTTGTTAATGAACATGCGTATTAGCAGTATATTGGCTCTTTATTAGTCATTATAAAACACGTATTAATGCCTTATTCTACATGACCATATTCTACAAGTAATAGGCCATTAGTTGAGAGTTTTTCCTTAACAACCCTGTAATTAGTGCTTATGTATTGCAAGTAAGGAAGTTGTTGTACATGAGAGGGTCTTAATATGCTCAATATGGGCCTAATAAGGCATCCTCTCATAACAACACCTGACACATGGTCTATTCTTATGTAACAAGACATGAAACTACAAGTGTTAATTGTGTCAAGATAACTCAAAATGTGGTATTTCTAACTCTGAATAAGTTCCCTATTTTAAAGTGACGTCTTGTTCATAACCAATAAGCTAGTACCTTCATCTAAAGTGTTACCGATCATTTCTTACGAGAGCACAAGAGCCAATCTGTGTAGAAATATGTAAAGATTCAAACGGTAATGATGTAAAAAAGGTGTGTATTTGAGCACAAACGAATCATTCACTTTAAAAAAAAACTCACATCTAACAAACTATGTGATCAATGACAGTATTTGGAATTACCTGAACATGCAGGTGAGTCATTTTTCAGGTGCACTCATCCATCAGTTTTTAATTAATCAACGTATGTTTTGATAATTTATTCATAATGTGGTCGTTTTACATGCAAACATTTTAAATTCAGTGCTACTAAAAGTCAAAATAGGTGTTTATTTAGCTGTGATTGTACACTTGGACATTTTTGTTGCTATATTCTTACATTTTACTGGCTCATATATTATCTGTAAATCAGTCAAATAATGTGCAGATTAATGGCAGGTGAAAAAAATTGTATAAAATTGTTCGTTTCATCCCAAGAAATATATGTTAAAATGTGTTAATCCTCAATCCTATGATTAGTAAATGGCAGGTAAATAATCAGTAATCTGTAAGAACGCACGAAAACGTGATTATCTTAATGTTTCATCAACAGGTTCGAGCTGAGATTAAACAAAGAATGATTCACGGCGAACGCTAATAACGATGTACTTGCTTCTAACAAGAGAGGAACTACTGGATTATAATGCAAGATGGAACAAAAACTCTTTGACGCCTCTTAAAAAAGCTCTTATTTACCACGATAAACCTTTAGAAGTTATGAAAAATACAGAATAACTTGATGAAATCAGGAATATGTTGAGTCAATGCAACAGATTCCAGTGTATTCTGTCATTTAAATGCATGTTAAACAGTAGAATCGACCTTTTCTTGCTGTATCTTTGCAGAAAAAGCAGACAAAAAAGGACAGGAGGCGTGTGGCGCAGTGGGTTAGTGCGTTGGTGTTCGGATCAGGGTTTAAACCCCACTGCAGTCAGCATGTCGTTGTGTCCCTGAGACACTTCACCCCAAATTGCTCCTGTGGGGATTGCCCACAGCATTGAGTATGTAAGTCGCTTTGGATAAAAGCGTCTAACAAGTGACATGTGATGTAATGTAACATGACATCATCTGTTATGCAGATAATGCCAAACTCAGGCTCTGCTTTAGTTGCTGAATTTAACCTGAAATAGTCTCTTTAAAGCAAAAATAACCCGCGTACTTTCTCTATAAAGAAAGGAACTACTTGATTATAATGCACGAGGTAACAAAACTCTGACTATCATCTTTAAAAAAGCTCTTATTTGCAACCATGCGCCTTTAGAAGTTAAGCAAATTCGAGAATCTCAGGAATATGTTCGGTCAATGCAACAGATTCCAGTGTATTCTGCCATTTAAAAAGCCGACAAAAACGACATGACATCATCTGTAATGCAGATGAAGGCAAACTGCATCCCACCGACAAACAGTTATTGAATTTAACCTTGAATAATGTCTAAAAAAGCATACATTAAAATAACCACTTCTTGAGTGTTATTACTATACTCTACTCATGTTTCCACGGTGCAGCCAGCAGTATGACATCATGACATCTGCACAAAGACCGTCCCTGCGCTAGTCTGCTCAATACCTCTCCTGTGTGTTTCAGGGAGTGTGTCTGCAGTTTATTTGAGAAGAAAGACTTAGTCTGGGGCCCCCGTGGGAACAGGTTAGCGGATCAATACGTGCTGATAACATTAGGGAAGCTTTAATGGCACTAATGAAGAGAGCGGCTGACACTCAGGGAGACTCCGGTCAGAGGAACCGCCGCAGAGATAGTTCCCTTTATACAAGGAGTTTGGGCAAGTGGATTAAGCTGTCCATTCATTATTTTATACCCCACAAGGAATGGACGAAGATAACCTTAAAATATAACAGCTCAAGATCACGAGAGCCCATTCTTAAAGTCTAGAAATGTGTACAAATTCAAGAGGAAATGATCAAAACCGGTGGGTATTTGAGCAAGTGTTCAAATCTCATTAAACAAACTATGGTGATCAACGAGAGTATGGGGGATACACTCAACATGCAGGTGAGTCATTTGAGGTCTATATAAGGTCTAAGTGATGCGTTCTCTCTTGCACACACTCATAACTTTGAGTAACGCATGAGGAAGACGGACAAACATTGAGTTTTTGGAGGTGATCAGCTGTTTGTGTGTCCTTTCTAACATCAGGGTCACAGTGTGAGGACGAGTCTGATCGCACCGAATGTCAAACACTGAAAAAACTGAAATGTCGACTTTGTACATTGACTACAAATGTATTATGGCAACAGATTTCACATGACTGTGTTAGGTTAAAATAAATACTAGGTTCAACTTAATATTATTGCTTTCAACTAACTTAATACAGTCGTGTGAAATCTGTTGATATAATACATTTCATTGAAGTCGACGTTTACATTTTTTGAGCGACGAAACTACATCTGAGCAGAATCCCTGCTGACATTTTGATAAATCAGTATTACGCTCACACACACACACACACACACACACACACACACACACACACACACACACACACACACACACACACACACACACACACACACACACACACACACACACACACACACACACACACACACACACACACAACACACACACACCACACACACACACACACACACACTTTACCATTGAGTTGAACCTTAAACTTAAATCGTATTACTTTCAGCTAACCTACAGTAATCTGATGAGATAATACACTTCATTAAAGTCAACGGTTCAGTTCTTTAGGAGTGATGAGGAGGAGGAGAGAGATGAACAGAGGAGATGAACAGAGGAGACGAACAGAGGAGATGAACAGAAGGAGACTAACGTACCTCACAGCAGACGTCTTGGTTTGAACTTGTGGGAAAAAGAAAAAAAAATTGAGTTGCCGGGATGAACGGAGGAGGAGGAGGAGGAGGAGTGAGGTCTTCTTCATCTGTCTTCTCTGGGATGAAGATGAGGAGGGAGAGGAGAGGAGAGCTGCTCCTTTGGCTGCCTCCTCTTCGCCTCTGGCTCGCTCTGCTTCTGCCTCACTATCATACCTCCCTCCCATCTACTCTTCCTCCTCCTCCTTTTTAAGTAACAACGAAAAGAGAGCGCAAGAAGAGAGAGAGAGAGAGAGAGAAGAAGAAGAGCAGAGAGAGAGAGCGAGAGAGGAGAGAAGAGAGAGACGAGAAGAGACGAAGAGAAGAGCAGAGAGAGAAGAGAAGAGAGAGCAGAGAAGAGCGATAGAGAGCTACTGCTCTCAACCTATATCACCGGCCCACATTACGCGCTCCTCTATCTATCTCCCTCTATCTTCTCCCTCTCCCTCTCCCTCTCCCTCCACCTTCCACCTTCCACCAAACTCAAGGGTGACAATAGAAATCAAGGCAAGGTAACACTCATTTAAAAGCATGAAGGAACTTGAATGAAGGTCACATCTGAAATGTTTAGCTCTGACTCTCAATCATCGCTCACTTTTTAGCAGAAGTCGTTTTCTATGACCTCACTTTCTTTCTACTTTCTTTGTTAACTTATCCTGTAGTTATTTCAAGTGTCTCACGCTAAACGAACCCCCCTTTGGTCAATTCTAAATACCCAATATTCCGAAGATTCAACGGATCCTGGCCGTATTTGTGTAGCATATAAAATACATTTGAAAAAGGCTTTTATCATCAGTGCTTTTCCACAGAGTGTCAGTGCAGATATAATCACAGAGTTGTTGTTCAAACATCTGGTGAGGTGAGTCTTCTCACAGATCGCAGTACCGGTCACAGATCGCTCGCCTGGTACAGACTGCTATGACAATGATGGGGGTTAAAAGACACCCATCTCTCCTAAACATATACGAGCAGTCCATTATCAGACAGGCAAACTAAATGGTGTCTGATCCCACCCACATACTCCACCCAGAATTCCAGCTCCTACCTTCTGGTAGAAGATTCAGGGTTCCCAGGAGCAGGCTGAACCGCTATAAGCACTCATTCCTACCTATGTCCATTAAGCTTCTTAACATTCACATGAAATGTCAAATGTAATGAAATGTACTTTTTAAATGTCATGAGGGTTGTGCAATAGGTCGCCATTGTCAGTATGTGCGTCTGTGTGTTGTGTTTGTTCAAACGGTGTATGACTGATGATATGTGTATGTCTCTTAATGTCCACTATGTTTGTATATGTACATGTATGCGGAACTGCAGGACGGAGTCCAGAACAAATTTCCTTACGGGGACAATAAAGTATATCGTATCGTATCGTATCGTACATTCACACGTTTTAAAAACTAGAACCAGCAGATGTTTAGATTTAAATGGTAGTTGTTGCGTTTATATGAAGATAGCATTTCCCTTTTTCATTTGATCTCTCAGAGGAGGAGATGTACATAGAGAAAAGGAGAGATGTTAGGGAATTTAATTTGAATATTTTATATAATTCATGCAGAATGGGGATTGTGCAAAAGGGGCAATTATCAACTAGACTAGGCTCACAGCTGTTTTCTATCCACATGTGTGTGTATAATGTTATTTTTTATATACTTACTGTTGTTCCTTCTTCTACCTCGTAATGTGTGTATATATGTGTCTATATAACTGTATGAGTATGTATGTGTATATATACAGTGGGTGTTCAGGTGTTTTTGCATCACACACACACACACAGAAAAATGGACAATAATGTTTGCTTTGACTAATAAAAGGCAGTTGTTAATGATGGTATCTCATCACATCTGGTGCGTAACACAGCGTTCCCTCTGTCACGATGACATGAGGACGAACAAATCCAGATATTTTGTCACCTTGCCTTTTATTTACAGTAAGTCAGATTAACACTGTTGTGAAATCAAATAGCAGTTCATCGTCGCTCAGTTATAAAGTAGATTTAGGCTAAATCCATGTATTGATTTCCCTTATTTAGATGATATCTCAGATGTAGCTGTTTCTTTTTGATATTCAATATAATTCCTACAGAATGGGGTTCGTGCAAAAGGAGGTGAGACACAATATTAACGGCAGATGTTCGTGACGGTATCTCATCACATCTGGTGCGTAACCCACCGTCACAATGAACAGAAACATAAGGACTCACAAAAAGCAGAAGGATAAGCTACATATGAACTGCTGTGTTTCAGATATTTTATTGTCACCTTGCCTTTTCTTTTAAAATCAGATTAACACTCGTGGATTTTTCAGCCAAGAAGCAGTTATTTTTTCCCTTTCTCTCCGCCTCTCGTTCGCCCCACAGAGATCCCTCCACTGCCTCTGCCTGCCCCTGTTTCCATAGTGACACTTTCCCCGAATCTCCCTCGACATAACCAAGTGCACTGGATGGGGGTTGGGGTTGTGGGGGGTTGCGGGCAAAACTGATTGAAAATGATAGCAGAAAAAGAAAAAAGGACAAACGTGGAGATGAAGGAGCAAATAATGGATAAGGAGAATATCAACAGAGATGTGTGTGTCGAGTTCACATCAGGTGCTCCTCGGCATATGGTGGAAATAATTATCATCAAAGAACTGGATGGCCACTTCTGCTTTGTGACAATACTCCCAACAGAATGGAAAGGAATTATGGGACCGAGCTAATCAATCTGAATTTTAACGAGATAGACAAATCAGTCTGATGCACGAAGCCAGAAAGAGATGCTGAATGTGATGATAAGCAATCTTTTAAGTCATCTTTTTATGTCTGTTAATCAGTCAACAACTTTGATATAGTGTGTAGAAATGACAGGAAATCATGCTCCCATCAGAATGGAAAGGAATTATGGGACCGAGCTAATCAATCTGAATTTGAATGAGATAGAAAAATCTGTGTAATGCACGAAACCAGAAGGAGATGTTGGAAATAAAATAACACATGTGTAGTAAAGACTAAGAACATCCATAACATTCACCTGTTTGCAACTCACACATGATGTATCACTTGTATAGTCTCTTATGGCACTACTTCTATTCTATTTGATTGTATTTACTTGCACTATCTGTTTTATTGTGTTGCACTGTTGGAGGAGCCTGGGAACTAACATTGTCATCGTCATAACTACACTGAATGACAATAAAAGCCTTGAATCTTGACTAAATGTGATGGTAAGATAAGATAAGATAGGACTTCCAGAGTTACAAAGATACAATAAACACTGCAGCGTAATAATAAAACTGACAGTGCAGTAAAAAGAGCAATTAAAGGGCCCATGTCATGGCCATTTCTACTGATCATAATTCCATTGTTGAGGTCTACTAAAATAGATTTACATTGTGCAATTTTCCAAACTCACATTGGTTTCTCATACAGCATCTCTGTATAGTATGTGTATTCACTCTCTGTCCTAAACGGCTTGTTGGAGCTCCTGCCCCCCCCCTCCCTGTGAGCCCAGTGTGCTCTGAATGGTCGGGACGTTGCGGGAATCGTTGCTGCGATCTGCTGCGAGGAGCGGACAGGTTTCCGGGTCGACGATACAGCGAGAACAAGCGAAACTCATCCTGAGCACACACAAACACTCACAGCCGAAGTAAAAACAATAAGTGTGGCTTGATATTGAGTAAGAAAAAGGTTTATAACGCTGTGAGCATGGGTCTGCGGAGAGCATTTCAACGTAGAAAAACGTTTACCCATTTAAACAGTCGTGGTAGATACCTTGTTTGTTTTAAACATCATAAATACACAAACAACAATGAATACTTACAGGTTGTGTACCCGAATCTCCCGCTGGTCCAAACAAAGTAGGAACAGCATCGTTCTTCAGTGCCCTACGCTGTACATATCCGGCATGAATCGCTGAAAGGTTTAGGGAAGCTTTGTTACGTGAAAGGCTGGCAGAGGGTGTGGCCTCTGGGTGTTCACACGTCACAGTACCCAGGAAGTAAACAATGGAAAATGAGAAATCTCCAACGAGGCGTTTTGGGGCAGCATAGACTGTGTTAGAGTTTTACTCGCTACAGGGTGTACTTTGAGGGTTTTTGACTCTGCAGACCGTTTACATGCATACAAACCTTCATAACACACAAGAGGACGGGTAATAACCAGAAAAGCATGACATGGGCCCTTTAAATAACTACAAGTAACATAGACGGTCAAACCATTAACACAAACTGTAAGCAATCTTCTGTCATCTTTTTTACGTCTGTCATTCAGTCCAGATGACAAGAAATCATGCTCGAGGTTGATCTGGCGCCACCTGGAGGCCAAAAACGTCTCTGGATGAATGTTGATAATTTGTTTTCATGTTAATCCGTTTCATCTATCATCTGTGAATAAATAATGAATGATATATTTATGAACTACTTTGGCGTTAGACCGTTTTGACATTTACCATCACTTTTTATTCAGAGCCAATTAACAAATGATACAGAAGTGTGTGTTTTTTTTAAAATGGTTACCTCAGCAATGTAAAGGATTTAGGAGCACATATGAAAGTGTCTTGAATCAGAATGGAAAAGATCAGAGTCCGTGTAGTTTGTGCAGTTCATACTTTATCAAATACACAAATAATAATCACCATAAATGTGGAAGTGGGGAACAGAATAATGCTATTAAAAAAAACAAAACATCATACTTCACAGTGGGATGATTGTGTCCTCAGAAAGATGATAAACCCAGGGCCGTCCCCCCCTACAGGCCGATCATGCAGACTGCGTGGGGCCTCAGCAGGGGCGAACTGGGACTACAAATCAGCCCGGGACTCTCGACCGGCCCACTTTGGTACCGCAAGTAAATACCGCTAGTAAATTGTCGACGGGGGGTGGGGGAGTGGGGGGGCTAGTGACTTATCCGACCGGCCCACATCGTCCGACCGGCCCACTTCAGTACCGGTCCATCGTGATTCGTCCCGAACTACCCGATAGCCAGTCCGCTCCTGGGCTTCATCTTGCGGAGGGTGCCTCAACTGAGCCGAAAATGTGGCGCACCTATGCGCTGCAATTAGTGTGGCGCGGCACGGTTTCGCCGCTGCGAGGCTCCACTAGCACCCGTCCCCTGTCGACGCTCGCGAAACAGAGGGCCTCATCATATAACTTTGCGTGGGGCCTCATGTTG